TCCAGTGGTCTCATCGTAATGAGAGTGAGGTGATGCGTGATCTCCTCGGAATAATGGATTTATTTCGTCCCAAGGAATAACTTGAATAGGAGTTAGATCATTAGCGTCAAGGCTTACTATCTTCAAATCGCGAAAGGAAAAAATATTTGATCAATACACTGAAAAAATAAAGATTTTTTACACTCATAATAGTTCTAATAGATTATACCTGACTGGAGTGATTCTGACAATATACTTTGGGTTTTTCCCCAGGAGTGTTCAGAGGAAAGTTAACGTTGATGCTGGCTGCACATGGTTCCATTCCTGGTTTGTTAGTTCGCTTTTTTCCGAGAAATTTGGATAATGGTGTTTGACTATGTTAAAATCGATCGTTAATATTTACATAACATTCGTGCAACAAATGTGGAAATGCATGTCGATAGTAGATTACTTTGCGTGAGTCTTGAATAACGAATATGGATGCCTTGTCAAAATCCCGTGATGATCGCGTATTTTCGATTCAAATACTTTACTGGTAAGTCGAGAGCGATAATTTACTTTATTCTCTTTGCCGTCAAGCACGAATCGGTTTACTAGAGGAAGTCTGAAAGTAGTGAATCGGTTAAAAACAATTTACAACAAATTAATCAAAAAAGCGGCGTACCCATCGAACCAATGACCCACGGAGAAAGTAAGGGATCCGGTTTCATAACCACCTTCTACCTCGATCATCTTATTATACTTTATGTCAAAGGTACCCGGACCGACCGTGAATAATTCTCCAGACAACCATTCGGGTAGATTGCCAGTAATTGTCAGATCAACCGGATCGGTCGTTTCTTTGGTGTTTGTAAATCCCTTTGAAAAAAAAAAAAGATCATTAAAAACGTTGCAATAAGATAAATTAAAATCATATCTTCTATATTTTCACACCTTGCGATACAAAGATTCCTTCTCCGAAGAAAATATTTCGACTTGTACAACACCATCGTCAGTAATGATTTTTGGAGGGTCAGAATAGTTTGTAAGTTCTACAAGACGAGAGCGATATTCTGCCATTTTGTGTGAAGTGTATTGATCCAAGAGCTAAAGTTATTAATACCTGCACATAATACAGGAATACAGGTATGATGCGTCAGATGATAAGTTGACTATGACATTACAATATTATGCGTAAAGTGCTAATTTTAATTGGCTAGAATCCATGTTTCTGAAGGAGAAGGATCCGGAGAAGCTAGAATAGTTCTTGTTCAGAGACTTATATAAAATGGCGTAAAATGGCGCATCATGGCACAATTATATCGTATGAGCATAGTCAAAAATCGAAATTACAGTATAGCGTAATTCACAAATGCTTTATTTAGTAAAAACGTATTGCATATTTTATCATCATTGAAGTAACACGCAATATAAGTATTAAACGTTGCCTAGTTTTTTCTTCCCCATTTTATGCCAATTACAAAGTCTTGGAGGCAGATGATGGTGCACATTTCTAGCCCGTCTTTCACGCGGTTTTTATAGTTTGCTTCCAACACCTTAAGTAGGGCAAAACTTTTATTCCTGATGTAAGCCTGTCTTTTGGCAATGTTAAAGCCATCTACGTATACAGAATCAAAGTAATGTGTTTCATGTCATATTAGGGAGACAGGTGGCGCAAATGTTCAGATAATAAATAAATAGTCTGTTGATAGATTTCTCGTGTTTTGCAAAACAATCGAAAGCTGGTGGAGATACTTTTGTTAATATAATTTTGAGGTTCCCAAATTCATCAATGTATCTATTAATGGAAATAGCGTTACGTTACTGATAAGTATGTAGCGCTCTTAAAAAAGTCCAACCTAAATTCATCCGTGTTCACGTAATGGTCAACCCCCGATTTCACAGTACGTATTTAGTTACACGATTTTAATAAATATTACAGTATTAAAGTTTTAGCAGTCGCGCAAAAAGTTGGAATTCGTTAAAAAAGAACAATTTACCAAAGATAACTCATTTTTCACAATACAAATTCCATAGCGAAAAAGATATTTGAGGCAAATATTGTTCGGAACCAAATTATCGATTGGGTTTAAGATGAAATAAAGCAAGAGATCCAATATCAATTATTAAAAATCGATCAATTTTCGTTTTAAATAATATACGATACGCTTATTTATTGATTGATATGCATTTGGAATGTACATATAACTTCGAAAACATGAATTAGAAGGATAATGAATTTACCAGAATAACATACAGTATGCCTCCAATTCAAATCCACGACGTCCAACCTTCATACATTACACACAAATTATCTATACTTGTTGCTTGCTGGATGATTTTGTCGACCTGCAATGATAGATTTTTCATTATTTGGTGAACTTTTTAATACCAATTTACCCAACAATTTAATACATACTTGTTCATGAACGGACATTTTAGTTGTAGAATCAAAGTCTCTTCCTTCAAGTTTGGCCTTTATTCGACGAATGATTCCAACTGCAAATATGTTTCGTGCTTGTACTAAAGAAAAAAAAAGGACAAATTCGGAATAATAATCTCAAATAGAAAAGTGAAACCAATGAAAGTTATTCATACCTGCATTTCCTTGTTGCACGTTCACATCCCAAGCTTCTATTGCGTCTTCCATATTGCCTAAAGAGGAATCCCTTCGAACCGAATTTGCGATCTCACTTATCTGATCGTCTCTTGGAGAGTTTATCGGGTTACTAAATGCTTCACTCTGTTCATATTCACCAACTTCGTCCAAGTTGTGACTTTCTATTCTTTCTTTGGCACCTTCCGTTTCAACAAGACTTGAAGGTTTATTATTGTCTATCCCGGATTTACTTTGATTGGATTCTCCAGGTGTGTGTGAAGTTTTATGTTCGCCGAAATCGGGAGGTAAGCTTTTATGTGGCAAGTCCTGTCGGTTTGATATATTAAGTGCCTCCCCTAAGGAAAAAAGATTGTCCAATATTCTTGATGTTGTTTCGGCAAGGCGAGATATGGTTTGTTCCTGAACCATTAATCATATCAAGTTCGTTATTCCTCTTATTACACGTTATGCAACAAAGTTGAAAACATACATTTTCTCGTCGAATATTTTCCAAAATTAACGGTGATTCTGGGTCAAAAGTCTCATTGTTGTATTTTAAACATTCATCAATGACATTATCGATATCGGAGTCGAGATTAGACCATTCACACATAAATTCCTAACATAAAATCATTAATATCAATTATACGTTAAGAAACCATGATATGTTTTTATTACCTTTGCTCGTAATCTCAAATCTTTTCCGTTGTCTTCTGTGTCCACTTCAGCATTGGAAATAGGTTCAATTAACGGAATCAGATCAATTATAAAATTTCGGATTTCTTCAATTGTATTATGAAGATCCTTGGCAATTATTTCAAGATTCCGTGGCAAATCCAGCTCTAAAGACTCATCAATCTAGTGTTCAGATGGTAAAAAATGAAAAGTGAACATAGATGGCAAATACATTTATCTCAAGAACAGGCACAAACCTTTAAACTTGATAATTGCTGACCAATATCCAACTGTGAATCTGCTGGAGAAATCTCGGGCCGTCTAAAACAAGAGATTATGAAAATTACACGCGTTAAAAATGCCACACGAAAAACATGAATTGGTGTAGTGCATTCATGAATCCAAACTTTACCCAAAAATTGCTGATTCAAGTCTCTTAATCAGATGAAGAGTATCGGCATCCATTGCTGAAGTTTTGT